CAAATTTAACTGCTGAACTACAAACAGTCTACCACATCACCAAGACTAGGCATGCAATTTTCTAGATAGTTTTTACTGCTGGTTTTTCTTAGTTAAATGTGGCATGACATGCAAGATGCCTCCACACAGTGCATTAACTTTGTCTGATAACAAATTCACTGCCCACTTTTTAAAAGAGGAAAAAAAAAAGATAAAACATGTATTTTAATTAAAAGGTTGCAATTCAGTTAGAGTAACTCATGACCTATGGAAAGTTATCAGTCTTGACTAACGCAAGGCTGCAAGGGCAGAGAGTTGTACTGGAGAAACACTTGGGTAATATCCATAGTCTTTAGAACTTCTAACTGACACTATCTCAAACAGCTGCTTGCCCTACTACTTTCTAGATATGCCCCTGCTCAAGTGAGGCAGGAATATCCCCTCCTTGTGCAAATAAAAAACTACTTAAATGGCTGCTAAACATCCAATGTCACACTATGCAGTTTTCAAATCGTCAAGCATTTACTGATAACAAAGTCAGTTATTCTTGTATCCATTGTACTGTTACCTGACGCAGATTCCTGGTTACTTTCACATCATGCCAGGCATTGTCATTAAATTTCCCATTCACAGGTTCCACCAGCGCTTCAAAGGCCCCTGAGCCCAAATTAATGACCAAGGAGACAGCTCCATTTTTCAGTGCAAGATTGACATAATCAGCCGATTTTCCAGTGTGAAGCATCAGTCCGTTCCTCTGAAGTGTTTTAAATGATAGAGTTATTTCATCACTGCTACTCTGTATTGGATTCTGAGATAAATCATAACAGAAGTATTCTGATCCCTTGAACGTTGCAATATACTCTTCTTTTCCTAAAAAAAAAAAAAAAGAAAACCAAATAAATCACCAGCAGGCAATATAAAGCAACTTGCATAATTATTTTCATACTTAATTTAACTGTACTACTGTAAGCAAAGTATCAAAAAGTAATTACTTTCAAACACTTAAAACCTATTAAGAAAAAAAAACAACCCTAACATTTACTGTGAAGATATTTTAAATATTTTCTTACAGAACTTTCATAGGTATGATTGAACAGAGAAAATATACTGCATCACAACTGTGTTAAAGCAATCTGATCTAGAACACATCAAAAAACATAGCACTGATGGGACTGTGCAAGCCAAAGCATTATTCCAGTCAAAACCCAGATCTTTTCATTTCCAACTCTTATAAAAAGCATGGCATCTCCAAAAGAATCAATATCCTAGATATTTCAAAGTGGTCTGTTCTAAAGGTCTTGATTAAATCAAAGCTACAAACTGCTCATTTAAGAAACCTGCACATATCTCAATCCTGCACATATTATTATGCCAGAGAGCAAGTTAACATGTCAGTAAGAAAACAGTTTTTTTCTGGGATATATTTTTACTAGCCAGTATGTGCCATAGAGGGTAGTTTTCTTAATTTCAATGGAAACATCTGCATGTTGGTGCAGTGTAAGGATGAAGGCATGAAAATCTGTAGATGCCTAATTTCAACATTCTTGAGAACAAACTCAGCCTCCATAACACAGCTGCATACATTAGTCTATGACAGCACCAGCAAAAAACCCAAACACCTGTTTTAATATATAGATCAGAGAAGTAACAGTAACATGAATTTAAGAGACTAGTGAATGACAGAGCATGTAAAAAGCAGATACAAGAGCAAATTTGTTTGAAAAGTCCTTGGCCGTATCTGTCTTGTGGTGTTCCACATCATCTTGCTTGTAGCCCTCTGCAGTAGACTACATTAACATTGATACCAGATATTTGCAATCATTCTCTTTAGAAAGCAGAACATATAAATTTCACATAGTACTGCAAAGTAACTTCGGATAAAACTCCAGACAGGAACTGAATGTTAGCTTAACTTTGTAACAAGAATATTAACAGTTATTGGTCTGTATTTATTTTGAAGTTCTATCTCACAGATTTGACGCAGAATTTGTGTGTAGTTGCAGTCAAACTATATTAGACTATTACATAAAAACATCACAAAGCAACTGTTCATCTCATATGCTCTGTATAAAGTCCAAAGCTGGCTTCAACAGCACCTTGCCTCAAATGAAGGAACTTAGAATACGTAATAGGAAAACCACAGCTGGACTTCATAGCCTAAGACTACTTTGTGAAGAAACACTTGCAAAAATAATTTAAAAATCACATGTCTGAGCACCCTTAAGGATGCTTTTCCTTGCTATTTTTTGATAACACCTCTCACAAAGCACAAATAAAACCAAATTAAAATCCCTAATCTCAGATTAAGCAATATTCCTCTATTACAACAAGCAGTTGACTGTGCACAGCACACAGACTGCTTCCTGCATTCATGTATTCATCATACATAACGAATACATAGTACGAGCCAGGTATCATCACACTGTGTTACATCCTAACCAAACATCTGTAGAGCTGCAATATCTAGGCAGATGGTAGCTTCACTGACAAACCCAGTCACCTTTCTGGGGAGGAACACCTA